ATTAAGTTAACTATATGCATTAAATTAATATTATTATTTGTTTTTTTTTTTTAAATTATGGAGTATTCTATTCAAATAATTTTATCAAAACTTGTAGTAAAAGTTAATTCTTGTATAGACTTTTAATAGACATTTTAAATTTTATTAATTATCCAATTTTTTATACTAAATATATTTAAACTATAAATTGGCGCTAATTTTCATAAATAAACACGATAATTAACTTTTAGATTATTCATAATTCATATTATTCTTTCTATAGGTACTACATTAGTAGGTACATTAACAATGACCATACTAAATCTGGTAGCATTATGCTATATTTAATTTTTTTAAACCAACAATTTGTAAAAAACGTTTTCTAACATTAAAAGCTTATATAGTCCGATCTTTTATTAAATGTTCAATATAGTCAATTTTCTAACAAAATATGTGTGCTCAGTGCTCTGTAATAGTCTGTATTTATGATGGGTGCGTCTTAAATAATTTATATACCCATTATAAATTATTATAATGTTACATGTGAATATGTGATCTAATAGATGGTAAGATAATAAGATGTGCGTTTAAGGGGATTCAATACCAACCTTTTTAAGGAACTCAATATAGGCAATTTTCTGAGTGTGCATGCAGGTTAGATAAATGTGTACCCAATTAATATATTAATGTATAGTAAGGAGTCATAAACGTGTGTTAATGTGTATACAAGAATTAATAGAATATACTTATAAGTATGACGCAAATATCTAAAATCGCAATGCATGTCTACAAGTGTGTARACTGAATTCGGAAAGTCCATGCTTCCCAYATGGACAGTGTACCTATGTGGCATGCTCACACGTCAGAAAGTTTTCTGATTTATTTGTGTACGCACCAGAAGGATGAACAAAAAATATCAAGTATCCAAATGTACTTCAATAAATATCATTYAAATAAATATTTGAATTGTCAGACTTTTCTCGATAAAACGAATAAAATTATATAATGATAAATTAAATTAAATATCGTTGTAAGATTATTACTTAGTATATTTTAATCGGCATCTATCTATATGTATAAAATTATATGGATATMGCATAATCACAGGTTACGAATTTAAAACACARTTTGAGACATATAAGAGGTAGAATTTTTAACGGGCTACGAAGTGCAAGGGTTCAGCTAAAGTTCATCATACATTATTTTGTTTTTATTTTCAAATGCATCAATATGTTGCCATTAAATTGTATTAACCGAGATATTAACTAACATGTTATTTTATTTTTATTATTTTTAGAACTATTACTTCTAAATTTATGGATACATGTTTTCAGGGACTTTTTCCCTTGGACTTTTTCCCTTGGACTTTTTCTTACCATCAAAAGTCACAGACAGGATTGTCTTAACCAGTTTTTGTGGGACTTGGGGGTTAGCATCCCCACTTTTAAATTTAGTGACCTCAATAATAACATCGTTTGTAGACTAACTGAAAAATATGGTGCTTCAATAGGAACCTATCACCAATTTTTTTATTTTATTAAAATTACATCACTATCCTTAAATGGCTTAAAAATTGTCATTAGTCATTAATAGTTATTGATGTAGTTAAATGAATTGTATAAAAGAAACTAAGGACTGTCTCGTACAGTTGTGTCAACAAGCGCGAAGCGTATTATACGAATAGTTCTTTTTGTCTAAAAGATTCTTTATTTTTATAATTGCATTGACTAACTTAGTTATCTTAAAATTTCTAAAACTAAATTTTAAATTAAGTTTACGAGAACACGACTTTTACAATTTTAAATTACCTAATATTTTAAAGTTAATTTTCAAAATAACAATTTTTAAATGTTCAACTAAAATAAATGTTTTTAACTCATTTTAAAATTAAAATATCGAATTAACGCTTGCGTGCAGCATTAAATAATATTCTTACCTTTAAATTTGATAGTAGGTAGGTATGTCAGTTGTTTACTGGATTATTATGTTAAAAATAACCGAATAAAATGTATTATTCCAAAATTAAGATTTGGTACCTATATTGTCYATTATCTAGTAAGGCGGAGTTAAAAATGATTGAAATCGACAATCAAGCATTTAAAAACCATGTTTCCTACTTTGGAAATGTATTGAATTGAATTATTTTAATTTTAAATTTGAAGTGCCTAGAGTTTTTACTACCCTTTTTCATTCTCATAAATAAAAAATGTAGTCATATTTTGTCAATAGTATTAAGTATTATGTAGAAACAAATAATATATACTTCCCAAATGCCTAGATGCTACATACTCTGAAGTCTGAATACAACTTTTTCTCCACATAAAGGCTATGCCGCCATGGGTGTAGTGATTTAACTACATTGCAATTCTCATTCGACATTATAAAAATATTAAAAATTTTGAAATTTGAATCCGTCTATTTTATAGCTCTCATTTCAGTTATGAGAGAAAATAAAAATAGTATTTACATGTGAACCGTGGATGAAAAAGTAATTGTTGAGTCAACAGACAAAAATACGATCTTAGAAGATATCTTCAAAAACGATAACACGTATCGGTAGAGTAGACAGTAGCATGATAAGCTATAACTGATAATAAAGTTTAAAAACATCGTTTAGTTCGTTTACTATTGAGAACTTTAGAAATTAGAAGTGTTTTTATTATTTTTTTTTAAGTTAACTACATAAAATTTAACGATTCGAAAAAAATGTGTTCATAACTCCAAATTAAATTTTCGTTTGYAAACTTTAAATGGCACATTTTTTATTATTATGTTAAGTTAATTTTAAAATTTTTATTAATTTTGCTATGGCCGAAGAAATAGAAAATTTTTACGGAGTATACCTACTATATTGTCTGAATGAAAAGAGCAAAGGAAAAACTTACATTGGCTATACCAAGGATCCTAATCGCCGAATAAAACAACACAACAAAGGTGTTAAAAGCGGAGGAGCCAGAAAAACCAGTCTTCGTGGGCCATGGTACCATATTATTATTGATTAGACTACAATTTATTAATATTAAACAATGAAAATATATTTTGATTGGTAAACTAATCTGCCTACAGGGAAATGGTTTTGATAGTGCATGGATTTCCCAATGATATATCAGCATTAAGAGTATGATATAAATATTTGAAATTTAACAATTTAACAATATCAAAATATTTTTTTTAGTTTGAATGGGCATGGCAAAATCCCAAAACATCCAGACGATTGAAACACGTCGCACAAAAATCGAGAACTGAAAAAGCATACGACTATTGTATTCGCGTACTTTCTGAAATGCTGCACGTAGGTCCATGGAATCGTCTAGCTTTAAATGTCCGGTGGCTGAATATGCTTTATCGACGTGATTTCAGTGTAAGTAAACTGTCATGAATCATATAAATAACTAATGTACCTAGTATCAAATGATTCAAATGTTATATCTTATAATTAATTTTAATATAAATTACACAGGATGACAAATTTCCACCCATGCACATGTCTATATGTCAAGGACCAGTTGTATGTAAAAAAACTGTGTCACCAAATGATATTAGCTCATTGGACAGTAGTAAAAGTCAAATATGTGTTTTGTGTGCACGTAATTGTCGTGCAGAYAGTCTACTAAATTGTTTAGATCCCGATTGTCAAGCAGTTACCCATATCCAGTGTCTCGCCAAACGATTCTTAGGATCATCTGATCATATTATACCAATAGAAGGTGAATGTCCAGCATGTGGGACCCGTGTTCTTTGGGGTGATTTAATTCGGCAAAAAAATGGATGCTATAAAAATTTAATTTCTGCTGGCACATAATTATGACACGACAGTTATTAAATTATTTATGTATTATATTATTAATGTATTTATGCTATTAATTATGGTTTGAGTTCCTCTTTATTGTGAAGTTTATTTTTAAAGTGTATATTTTTTTCAAATTATTGATTTTTGTAAATATTTAAAATGTATTATTACTTGATTTAAAAAAATTTTTACATATTCATATAAAATATAATTGTTGACGTAATATTTTAAAATTAAATTTTTTAAAGAGGTGATTTCCTGTTGGAAGTTTCTCAAAAACCTTACTGTTTCATAAAAATCCATATCAAATCTAATAAATTCAATAAATTTAAAAAGCTATGGAATAATTCAAAATTTATATTGATGTATTGAAGATGTATTATTTAACTAACCAATACTTAAAAAAAAGTAAATAGGTTGAGAAGTAAAAAATAAACAATTTTTTATGCTCAAAAAAKTAGATTAAGTGTTTTTAAAAATTTCATAACCTTATATTCAAAAAAATAAGTGATGATAATGAGCTTGTATCATAAATACCATATTGTGTAAATTGATGAAAAATAGTGTAGCCCAGTGGTGGCATCAAACTCTATATATTTTTAAAATTTAGAATAGCGTCACTTCATATTAACCACTTTCCTCCACGGTACGCCATTTTTGCCTATCTTAAGATATTGGGCCTCTTGAAATATTGTTCGCCCTACCAGATTTTTAGAACTTTAACGCAACTGGTGTAGCTTTGTTAGGAATGTATAACTAATTAAAGAAATTCTCAATGCTAATGATAAATAATGATTTTTAAAATTAGCACCAGATATATGAATTTGTATTTTTGTAATTTCATTCAATTTATACATATTTTTAATCACTATCTTACTTTTTARATATTAAAATGTTTTTATATCTAATTAAATATTAAATTAATATTAATATTATAGAAAAAAATATTTACAATAAATTATCATTCCCCATCAGTCATCAAGCTTGTATTAGGAAATTTTTTTTTTTTTTTTAAATAGAAAAAACAGATTTAAATCACAAAATGTTTATTACAAATATCAAATGTATATATTATTCAATATTATACCATAATAATAATAATATTTTAACATCACAGAAAATAATATTAATCATGTCTTAATATAGTATACATTTTGTAAAAAAAATACATATACTATATTAGAACAATCACAACCATAACCTGAGGTTATTATAAAATATAGTATAATAAAATAGTTTACAGTTATCAAACAATAAATAATCAACATTATACTTCAATCTTCTAAACACATTATTATTATAACTACAATAAAAACATTTTGATAAAATTAATATATATGAGTTTCAAAAAGACTAATAATGGGCACACAGATTTGGTGAAACAACACTAGATATAGTATAAACATTGCATAATAAATACATTTTTATAAAAATAACTTGTATTATTGTTTTATTGCGCACAATACACATACCCTATTAAATWATTTAATATAGTTGAATAAATACAAATTAGAAATGTTCAAGGCCTCTCACTAATAAACAATAAAACAATAGTGCATACCTATAATACCTACTTAACACATAACAATAATCGACTAATACAAATCACAACACAGTTAACAATTTGTGTTTCATTTATAAATACATATAATAATACACAAAGTGAATCGTAAACAGTAGACAACTTAACATATAAAATGTTAAATTACTGTGATACACTTATTTGGACGTACATCGATCATTACATTACATTATAATAGGTATAAAACTATACTACACAAATAACATTTAATTTTTAGTTTATTTTCAATAGAATATTTTATATTCTTTAGTAATTAATATCACATCCGAGATTGAGTTATTTTTTCTTATACCTTGGGATAACATAAAGAATAGTGTGAAGCATATTTATATCAAAATATAAATGAAACAAATTTAAAATCTGATAAATATGAAAATGTAATTAAAACAAATAGTATTAATGATTAAAATAAGATACCGGATAATAAATTACTGTTGATGAGAAATGTAATGGAAATTTACCCTGTATAGTATTGTAAGAATCAATAAATTATAAAATATTAACCATTGGGTATTGAACATATTTGGTGTTAACTAATATCTAGTTAACATAATCTAAAATATATAACAATGAACTGTTTAGTATAAATAAATAAAAATGTTGCAGACTTAAAATGACATGGGGAATTTTTTTTTAGATGTTACTGATAATTTGCTTCTTAAGTAGAATGTTTCAAATCTTCAGTCACTTCAATACCTTTAAAGATTTGAAACAGTAAACAAATATTTTTTTCTTATTTTTCTCTTATTCATATAATGTATATTGAAGGTTTAAAAAATTGAGCATTATTAACATTGTGAACAGCTGAGGTCAATTTTTTTTTACTTTAGAACTATTACCTTGTTCAAATTGTAAGTCAAAATTGGGGATTTTCTCTTCAGGTCTTAGAAAATCATCCATTGTTTTATCTAGTTCGGGAAATAATCTAGTATAGATGAAATATGCTACGTCATAGTTTGACCAATATGACGTATGTGTATACAACATTGACAAATAATTACTGGCTGACCCTCCGATACTATCTCTCAAAATATAATCTAACCGATGATTCAAATCTAGACATAGTATTTAATATTTAAAATTAGATATAATTATACAAATTATTTTAAATATCAAAACAATTTATAACATACTTTCAACTGGCGTACTATTTCTTGAAAGTGGACAGGTATTAACTTCAAACTGATTTGAATTATTGGCTTTATTATCATTGCTGCTTGACATATTAAGCCAAGTACTTATTCTACGGCTGAATGTTTCATTTTCTTTTTTTACATCTGGTGCTTTGGCTTCAGTTCCATTAGTTTCTTCGAAGCTAGAATCTATGTTTCCAATTAATTCAAAAGGAACCTCAGAATAATCGCATTTGATACCATAGGCTTGAATTCCAACAGGTTTATAGCGACAATAATCTCTCGCAACTAATGGTTCAAACCTAAGATAAAAAAAATATTAAACATTCTTACCCTCGCAAATTTAAAATATAAGTTATTCAATAACTAATACTAAAAATAAAATGTACCTATATGCAACAGGGTCTGTAGGATGATAAATGTTATAAACTTTTTTAGCCAACCACATTGGGAACAAGTTTAAGTTTTCTTTAAATATTTCATTTTGTCGTAATGCCAAAAACACAGACAATGGTGAACCCAAACAAAAAAAATTTTCCAACTAAAATTTAATACAAAAGATTAACAATGTAAATATACAATGATTTTTAAATTATTTATTTTAAACATAAAAATGTATAAATACCTCAAAATTTAAATGAATTCTTGGACTACTGTCACTTCGTTTAATCTAGAATCAATATAATTTGTTATAATATTAAATATATATAGATAATAAGATCAAATATTAAATAGTGGCCTGGAATTGGGTGATAGTTATCATCAGTCCCAAAAAAAACATGTTCTGAGTGCGAACTTTAGCTGGTGTCACTAGTTCCCGAATGGATAACCACTCGTATTTTAGTGATAAATCCTCACCACAAATACATATGTTCCAAATCAACTGTACCCCCTAACAAATCCTAATGGCCGTAGTTGCTAGATTCAAGATTAATATAAAAAATAAAAATATTTTAAATATTACTCACAAATGGTTCCCATCCGGTTATAATATCATATGAAATCACACTACCCAATGAATGTGCCATTATTGACACTTTGAAGTCATGGTGTGGGTGCCGTTCTACAAATTCTGAATGTAACCTATTCAGCTCATTTGCCAAACTATTTTGTATTTCTCGACCATATATAGGAGAAGTGTAATACATGATGTCCATAGCTGACGAATTTAATATTTGTCGTATGTTTTTTAAATTTAATGGAGTTATCTGTTCAACTAACCCTGAATTCAAAAGTAATGTATAAGTTAATAATATTGTAGAATATTTTATTGTTTTCATTATTTAAAATACATTACCTCCATCAAAACTACACTGTGATCTCCAGTCTACAGGGAAAAACTCTGCCMTCTGTTCAGTACCTTGGAAATATTTTTGTTTTATCCATTTGACGCAATCCCGAAATCTACATTAAATATTATAGAAATATAAAATTAATAAACAATGCATACATAATAATTACATCACTGCCGGGAATATTTTGAAATATATTTACTGTGAAGTATTTTTTATAATTTTTTTATTATCTATTTTATGGCCGATTCCATGAACTAAAAATACAAGATGAGTTATATCGTTCAGTTTATCCTTTTCATCAGCATCAGTTTTGTATGATCTAATTAGTTTGTATCCAGCAGCTAAAAAAATTATAAAATGTTAAGTAATATAATTATTTTACACATATGATTNCGTTTTGGTTCGACAATGTTGAATCGACATTATAATTAAACACGAACTGACCTGTTACAGGTATTCCATTTAAATAATATAAGAAATGCAATATCTCACGCGGTTATTATTAGATCTCAACATGGGATATAAGATGTAATTATCGAAACTCGATAGTCCTGAATTCTCAAAAGATAATCAAAGAAACATAAATTCCATCGAAATATTATCTGTACAAGTGTACCCACTTCAACACCCACATTGATATACAGGTAACTACATATATGTTATTTTAATATTATGTTGCACAGTGTTCAATAACAGTTGTTTTCTTTCCACTGTAGTCAATCATCATAGGGTTATAGTCACCAAAATTCTACTGCTGTATTTTATTATATATTTTGCGTTTGTATAATATAATAGAAAGAAAATATCTATATATTGTATTTCGTGCGTTGCTAACAGGGACGTGCGCAAACGTCTCTTATTTAACGATTTGATTTTCTCTACACTCTAATGTATGGAAATCCAGCAGCAGACATTATTATCGTCATCATTATTATATACCAATATAACGACTAATATGTATATTATATAACAATAACGCGATGTGCATGATGAATTTACATAATTCCAAGGATATAATATGACAAGATTGCTGGAGCGAGTGGCCGAGGGGGTCATCCTTAGATACCTTATAATAAACGAAGCGCTTTCACGCCAGAAACAAATAAATAAATACAAAAAATGAATAATAATGATAAAAATAAAAAATAGAAATGGAAAGAGATGCCATACATGCGAGTGGATAAAAAGATTAAAAAGGACACCCGGTGAAAGTGGCCGTGAGGGGCGACACGAAACGCGGTCCTTGGTAGCGTGGTATAACTACACTACAACGGAGATCGTAAACGCATAATATTATTTTATTTTTAATACATTTTATAATGTATATATCGCGTACGCTTTTTCCGAGTCACTTATGGTCATGCGAGCGTACGCACGCACATATTATTATTATTATTTGAATGTGTACATCGTATATTATATATTATGATTGTGGCAGTCAATTGAAATAATACGCATTACGCGTATATAGCCTGTGCCCTGTGCGTGTAGCGATTATTCTGCAGGATGAAATAGTTGGTAAATTCACACGTGTAAAATATATACAGCGTGTTAAATAGCGTGGAAATCTTAATACTAGCCTTACAGATTCCGCCAGTCAACTTAGATGATTTTCCAGTGTTGGTGGAGGAAGGTGGGTGGGAGGGTGTTAAAACTTATCGTCTGTTTGTTTATAATATATACTTTAAAGTTTTAAACACATGTACACATTGTACATCAATTATTATTATAGTTGTGGCGTAATTTATAGTTTTATATAAATATGTGTTTATTCATTTGATGTTCGATGAACATTTTTAGAAACGACGAATGACATATTAAAACAGTATCTTAGGCTTAGGTTTTTTAATTCTGCTGATTAGCTTTATTTCATAACAAAGTAGATAATATGGGAGGCTTTTTCACTCATACATTTTCACGTCATTATATCTATTACTATTTTATTTTATCAATGAAACTCATTGTACAGCTTTGCTACAGATGGACTTTTAAATAATTTTGTAAAAAAAAAAACATATTATTTCCTATATAAAGTAAAAATGTAGACTTGTGAACGCATGTATTACAATTTTGGCTTGAGTTAATTTTTAAAATCCTGACGCTTCTGATAATGTGTTCTGTGTATTTATGGTCCACTTATATGGATGACCAAATTACTAATYATGGAACCTTAACAACGATATTATAGTATTATACTAATGTTTTTTCTATTAAACTATTATAATAGGTAACCTAACTTAATGCTAATTCGTCAAAAAGTTTACTTGAAAACAACTTTTCAACTTTTTTGAAATTGAACTCTAAACCTCTTCAAACTTTGATTTTAAAATGTTGATTATCAAGGTTTTTTTTTAAATTTTAACAATGATATTGAACCTAATAAATTAATTTAAAAATATCGTAACTAGCCATTTTAAAGTTAATTTCATGAAAAATTCTATTTTAGARTTAAAAATGTTATTCTAATATTACTAGAGCAAGTTAGTAAATGCCAGTGACACACGATTGCGGACAATTAAAGTATAAAAATTTACATCCAAAAATTACACAAATGTTCCAAAAATTATAAATTATACATCCATAATAAAAGAATTCTGAGGAAATCAAATGAAAAGCTACWGTATTTTACAGAGAATTTCAGTTATATACTAGCTGCAGRTATATCTCACATATTAAGTTAACTATATGCATTAAATTAATATTATTATTTGTTTTTTTTTTTTTAATTATGGAGTATTCTATTCAAATAATTTTATCAAAACTTGTAGTAAAAGTTAATTCTTGTATAGACTTTTAATAGACATTTTAAATTTTATTAATTATCCAATTTTTTATACTAAATATATTTAAACTATAAATTGGCGCTAATTTTCATAAATAAACACGATAATTAACTTTTAGATTATTCATAATTCATATTATTCTTTCTATAGGTACTACATTAGTAGGTACATTAACAATGACCATACTAAATCTGGTAGCATTATGCTATATTTAATTTTTTTAAACCAACAATTTGTAAAAAACGTTTTCTAACATTAAAAGCTTATATAGTCCGATCTTTTATTAAATGTTCAATATAGTCAATTTTCTAACAAAATATGTGTGCTCAGTGCTCTGTAATAGTCTGTATTTATGATGGGTGCGTCTTAAATAATTTATATACCCATTATAAATTATTATAATGTTACATGTGAATATGTGATCTAATAGATGGTAAGATAATAAGATGTGCGTTTAAGGGGATTCAATACCAACCTTTTTAAGGAACTCAATATAGGCAATTTTCTGAGTGTGCATGCAGGTTAGATAAATGTGTACCCAATTAATATATTAATGTATAGTAAGGAGTCATAAACGTGTGTTAATGTGTATACAAGAATTAATAGAATATACTTATAAGTATGACGCAAATATCTAAAATCGCAATGCATGTCTACAAGTGTGTARACTGAATTCGGAAAGTCCATGCTTCCCAYATGGACAGTGTACCTATGTGGCATGCTCACACGTCAGAAAGTTTTCTGATTTATTTGTGTACGCACCAGAAGGATGAACAAAAAATATCAAGTATCCAAATGTACTTCAATAAATATCATTYAAATAAATATTTGAATTGTCAGACTTTTCTCGATAAAACGAATAAAATTATATAATGATAAATTAAATTAAATATCGTTGTAAGATTATTACTTAGTATATTTTAATCGGCATCTATCTATATGTATAAAATTATATGGATATMGCATAATCACAGGTTACGAATTTAAAACACARTTTGAGACATATAAGAGGTAGAATTTTTAACGGGCTACGAAGTGCAAGGGTTCAGCTAAAGTTCATCATACATTATTTTGTTTTTATTTTCAAATGCATCAATATGTTGCCATTAAATTGTATTAACCGAGATATTAACTAACATGTTATTTTATTTTTATTATTTTTAGAACTATTACTTCTAAATTTATGGATACATGTTTTCAGGGACTTTTTCCCTTGGACTTTTTCCCTTGGACTTTTTCTTACCATCAAAAGTCACAGACAGGATTGTCTTAACCAGTTTTTGTGGGACTTGGGGGTTAGCATCCCCACTTTTAAATTTAGTGACCTCAATAATAACATCGTTTGTAGACTAACTGAAAAATATGGTGCTTCAATAGGAACCTATCACCAATTTTTTTATTTTATTAAAATTACATCACTATCCTTAAATGGCTTAAAAATTGTCATTAGTCATTAATAGTTATTGATGTAGTTAAATGAATTGTATAAAAGAAACTAAGGACTGTCTCGTACAGTTGTGTCAACAAGCGCGAAGCGTATTATACGAATAGTTCTTTTTGTCTAAAAGATTCTTTATTTTTATAATTGCATTGACTAACTTAGTTATCTTAAAATTTCTAAAACTAAATTTTAAATTAAGTTTACGAGAACACGACTTTTACAATTTTAAATTACCTAATATTTTAAAGTTAATTTTCAAAATAACAATTTTTAAATGTTCAACTAAAATAAATGTTTTTAACTCATTTTAAAATTAAAATATCGAATTAACGCTTGCGTGCAGCATTAAATAATATTCTTACCTTTAAATTTGATAGTAGGTAGGTATGTCAGTTGTTTACTGGATTATTATGTTAAAAATAACCGAATAAAATGTATTATTCCAAAATTAAGATTTGGTACCTATATTGTCYATTATCTAGTAAGGCGGAGTTAAAAATGATTGAAATCGACAATCAAGCATTTAAAAACCATGTTTCCTACTTTGGAAATGTATTGAATTGAATTATTTTAATTTTAAATTTGAAGTGCCTAGAGTTTTTACTACCCTTTTTCATTCTCATAAATAAAAAATGTAGTCATATTTTGTCAATAGTATTAAGTATTATGTAGAAACAAATAATATATACTTCCCAAATGCCTAGATGCTACATAGTACTCTGAATACAACTTTTTCTCCACATAAAGGCTATGCCGCCATGGGTGTAGTGATTTAACTTCATTGCAATTCTCATTCGACATTATAAAAATATTAAAAATTTTGAAATTTGAATCCGTCTATTTTATAGCTCTCATTTCAGTTATGAGAGAAAATAAAAATAGTATTTACATGTGAACCGTGGATGAAAAAGTAATTGTTGAATAATAGAGTCAACAGACAAAAATACGATCTTAGAAGATATCTTCAAAAACGATAACACGTATCGGTAGAGTAGACAGTAGCATGATAAGCTATAACTGATAATAAAGTTTAAAAACATCGTTTAGTTCGTTTACTATTGAGAACTTTAGAAATTAGAAGTGTTTTTATTATTTTTTTTTAAGTTAACTACATAAAATTTAACGATTCGAAAAAAATGTGTTCATAACTCCAAATTAAATTTTCGTTTGYAAACTTTAAATGGCACATTTTTTATTATTATGTTAAGTTAATTTTAAAATTTTTATTAATTTTGCTATGGCCGAAGAAATAGAAAATTTTTACGGAGTATACCTACTATATTGTCTGAATGAAAAGAGCAAAGGAAAAACTTACATTGGCTATACCAAGGATCCTAATCGCCGAATAAAACAACACAACAAAGGTGTTAAAAGCGGAGGAGCCAGAAAAACCAGTCTTCGTGGGCCATGGTACCATATTATTATTGATTAGACTACAATTTATTAATATTAAACAATGAAAATATATTTTGATTGGTAAACTAATCTGCCTACAGGGAAATGGTTTTGATAGTGCATGGATTTCCCAATGATATATCAGCATTAAGAGTATGATATAAATATTTGAAATTTAACAATTTAACAATATCAAAATATTTTTTTTAGTTTGAATGGGCATGGCAAAATCCCAAAACATCCAGACGATTGAAACACGTCGCACAAAAATCGAGAACTGAAAAAGCATACGACTATTGTATTCGCGTACTTTCTGAAATGCTGCACGTAGGTCCATGGAATCGTCTAGCTTTAAATGTCCGGTGGCTGAATATGCTTTATCGACGTGATTTCAGTGTAAGTAAACTGTCATGAATCATATAAATAACTAATGTACCTAGTATCAAATGATTCAAATGTTATATCTTATAATTAATTTTAATATAAATTACACAGGATGACAAATTTCCACCCATGCACATGTCTATATGTCAAGGACCAGTTGTATGTAAAAAAACTGTGTCACCAAATGATATTAGCTCATTGGACAGTAGTAAAAGTCAAATATGTGTTTTGTGTGCACGTAATTGTCGTGCAGAYAGTCTACTAAATTGTTTAGATCCCGATTGTCAAGCAGTTACCCATATCCAGTGTCTCGCCAAACGATTCTTAGGATCATCTGATCATATTATACCAATAGAAGGTGAATGTCCAGCATGTGGGACCCGTGTTCTTTGGGGTGATTTAATTCGGCAAAAAAATGGATGCTATAAAAATTTAATTTCTGCTGGCACATAATTATGACACGACAGTTATTAAATTATTTATGTATTATATTATTAATGTATTTATGCTATTAATTATGGTTTGAGTTCCTCTTTATTGTGAAGTTTATTTTTAAAGTGTATATTTTTTTCAAATTATTGATTTTTGTAAATATTTAAAATGTATTATTACTTGATTTAAAAAAATTTTTACATATTCATATAAAATATAATTGTTGACGTAATATTTTAAAATTAAATTTTTTAAAGAGGTGATTTCCTGTTGGAAGTTTCTCAAAAACCTTACTGTTTCATAAAAATCCATATCAAATCTAATAAATTCAATAAATTTAAAAAGCTATGGAATAATTCAAAATTTATATTGATGTATTGAAGATGTATTATTTAACTAACCAATACTTAAAAAAAAGTAAATAGGTTGAGAAGTAAAAAATAAACAATTTTTTATGCTCAAAAAAKTAGATTAAGTGTTTTTAAAAATTTCATAACCTTATATTCAAAAAAATAAGTGATGATAATGAGCTTGTATCATAAATACCATATTGTGTAAATTGATGAAAAATAGTGTAGCCCAGTGGTGGCATCAAACTCTATATATTTTTAAAATTTAGAATAGCGTCACTTCATATTAACCACTTTCCTCCACGGTACGCCATTTTTGCCTATCTTAAGATATTGGGCCTCTTGAAATATTGTTCGCCCTACCAGATTTTTAGAACTTTAACGCAACTGGTGTAGCTTTGTTAGGAATGTATAACTAATTAAAGAAATTCTCAATGCTAATGATAAATAATGATTTTTAAAATTAGCACCAGATATATGAATTTGTATTTTTGTAATTTCATTCAATTTATACATATTTTTAATCACTATCTTACTTTTTARATATTAAAATGTTTTTATATCTAATTAAATATTAAATTAATATTAATATTATAGAAAAAAATATTTACAATAAATTATCATTCCCCATCAGTCATCAAGCTTGTATTAGGAAATTTTTTTTTTTTTTTTAAATAGAAAAAACAGATTTAAATCACAAAATGTTTATTACAAATATCAAATGTATATATTATTCAATATTATACCATAATAATAATAATATTTTAACATCACAGAAAATAATATTAATCATGTCTTAATATAGTATACATTTTGTAAAAAAAATACATATACTATATTAGAACAATCACAACCATAACCTGAGGTTATTATAAAATATAGTATAATAAAATAGTTTACAGTTATCAAACAATAAATAATCAACATTATACTTCAATCTTCTAAACACATTATTATTATAACTACAATAAAAACATTTTGATAAAATTAATATATATGAGTTTCAAAAAGACTAATAATGGGCACACAGATTTGGTGAAACAACACTAGATATAGTATAAACATTGCATAATAAATACATTTTTATAAAAATAACTTGTATTATTGTTTTATTGCGCACAATACACATACCCTATTAAATWATTTAATATAGTTGAATAAATACAAATTAGAAATGTTCAAGGCCTCTCACTAATAAACAATAAAACAATAGTGCATACCTATAATACCTACTTAACACATAACAATAATCGACTAATACAAATCACAACACAGTTAACAATTTGTGTTTCATTTATAAATACATATAATAATACACAAAGTGAATCGTAAACAGTAGACAACTTAACATATAAAATGTTAAATTACTGTGATACACTTATTTGGACGTACATCGATCATTACATTACATTATAATAGGTATAAAACTATACTACACAAATAACATTTAATTTTTAGTTTATTTTCAATAGAATATTTTATATTCTTTAGTAATTAATATCACATCCGAGATTGAGTTATTTTTTCTTATACCTTGGGATAACATAAAGAATAGTGTGAAGCATATTTATATCAAAATATAAATGAAACAAATTTAAAATCTGATAAATATGAAAATGTAATTAAAACAAATAGTATTAATGATTAAAATAAGATACCGGATAATAAATTACTGTTGATGAGAAATGTAATGGAAATTTACCCTGTATAGTATTGTAAGAATCAATAAATTATAAAATATTAACCATTGGGTATTGAACATATTTGGTGTTAACTAATATCTAGTTAACATAATCTAAAATATATAACAATGAACTGTTTAGTATAAATAAATAAAAATGTTGCAGACTTAAAATGACATGGGGAATTTTTTTTTAGATGTTACTGATAATTTGCTTCTTAAGTAGAATGTTTCAAATCTTCAGTCACTTCAATACCTTTAAAGATTTGAAACAGTAAACAAATATTTTTTTCTTATTTTTCTCTTATTCATATAATGTATATTGAAGGTTTAAAAAATTGAGCATTATTAACATTGTGAACAGCTGAGGTCAATTTTTTTTTACTTTAGAACTATTACCTTGTTCAAATTGTAAGTCAAAATTGGGGATTTTCTCTTCAGGTCTTAGAAAATCATCCATTGTTTTATCTAGTTCGGGAAATAATCTAGTATAGATGAAATATGCTACGTCATAGTTTGACCAATATGACGTATGTGTATACAACATTGACAAATAATTACTGGCTGACCCTCCGATACTATCTCTCAAAATATAATCTAACCGATGATTCAAATCTAGACATAGTATTTAATATTTAAAATTAGATATAATTATACAAATTATTTTAAATATCAAAACAATTTATAACATACTTTCAACTGGCGTACTATTTCTTGAAAGTGGACAGGTATTAACTTCAAACTGATTTGAATTATTGGCTTTATTATCATTGCTGCTTGACATATTAAGCCAAGTACTTATTCTACGGCTGAATGTTTCATTTTCTTTTTTTACATCTGGTGCTTTGGCTTCAGTTCCATTAGTTTCTTCGAAGCTAGAATCTATGTTTCCAATTAATTCAAAAGGAACCTCAGAATAATCGCATTTGATACCATAGGCTTGAATTCCAACAGGTTTATAGCGACAATAATCTCTCGCAACTAATGGTTCAAACCTAAGATAAAAAAAATATTAAACATTCTTACCCTCGCAAATTTAAAATATAAGTTATTCAATAACTAATACTAAAAATAAAATGTACCTATATGCAACAGGGTCTGTAGGATGATAAATGTTATAAACTTTTTTAGCCAACCACATTGGGAACAAGTTTAAGTTTTCTTTAAATATTTCATTTTGTCGTAATGCCAAAAACACAGACAATGGTGAACCCAAACAAAAAAAATTTTCCAACTAAAATTTAATACAAAAGATTAACAATGTAAATATACAATGATTTTTAAATTATTTATTTTAAACATAAAAATGTATAAATACCTCAAAATTTAAATGAATTCTTGGACTACTGTCACTTCGTTTAATCTAGAATCAATATAATTTGTTATAATATTAAATATATATAGATAATAAGATCAAATATTAAATAGTGGCCTGGAATTGGGTGATAGTTATCATCAGTCCCAAAAAAAACATGTTCTGAGTGCGAACTTTAGCTGGTGTCACTAGTTCCCGAATGGATAACCACTCGTATTTTAGTGATAAATCCTCACCACAAATACATATGTTCCAAATCAACTGTACCCCCTAACAAATCCTAATGGCCGTAGTTGCTAGATTCAAGATTAATATAAAAAATAAAAATATTTTAAATATTACTCACAAATGGTTCCCATCCGGTTATAATATCATATGAAATCACACTACCCAATGAATGTGCCATTATTGACACTTTGAAGTCATGGTGTGGGTGCCGTTCTACAAATTCTGAATGTAACCTATTCAGCTCATTTGCCAAACTATTTTGTATTTCTCGACCATATATAGGAGAAGTGTAATACATGATGTCCATAGCTGACGAATTTAATATTTGTCGTATGTTTTTTAAATTTAATGGAGTTATCTGTTCAACTAACCCTGAATTCAAAAGTAATGTATAAGTTAATAATATTGTAGAATATTTTATTGTTTTCATTATTTAAAATACATTACCTCCATCAAAACTACACTGTGATCTCCAGTCTACAGGGAAAAACTCTGCCMTCTGTTCAGTACCTTGGAAATATTTTTGTTTTATCCATTTGACGCAATCCCGAAATCTACATTAAATATTATAGAAATATAAAATTAATAAACAATGCATACATAATAATTACATCACTGCCGGGAATATTTTGAAATATATTTACTGTGAAGTATTTTTTATAATTTTTTTATTATCTATTTTATGGCCGATTCCATGAACTAAAAATACAAGATGAGTTATATCGTTCAGTTTATCCTTTTCATCAGCATCAGTTTTGTATGATCTAATTAGTTTGTATCCAGCAGCTAAAAAAATTATAAAATGTTAAGTAATATAATTATTTTACACATATGATTTWAAAAAAAAATTATAATATGATCTAGATATCTAATGTGGATAAAATGAAAAGTTTAAAATTAATGACAAATTAATAGCTTAACATGTTTGCCTCAAACAAATTCAAAATTTGTGTTTAACATATATTTATGACTTTAGCAAACTTACATATCCCTATGAATAAAAACTATTAAAAATTCCACAACAGTATTTAATGGTAAGTTATTTATACTGTTATAGAAAACTTACATTTTTGGAAATAAGTTCCTAATTTTTTTGTAACACTTCTCATAATCTTTGTATTGATAAAAGTCTTTTGTTTAAATGAATATACCTCAGCCGATGAATACCATACTACATGCATGTCTCCAATAGTAACATCTCTTAATACTGTAAAAACAATTGTATTTTATTAAACCTCAATTAATATAATTAATATGTGCGGTTAAATTGCAAAAAAAAACATTTGTACCTGACTTTCCATTGTCTTCGGTATTTTCAATTTTTCTAGTATCATCTCTGAATAGATTTAGATGTTCCCTTTCAACTTCCTCACCAAATTCATATGGTTCATATCCATCATAAAACCAAATTCCACGAAAAATGTCACTCTCTTCACCTTTTTAAAAATCAATAATATGAATATAAAGAAATCCATATTGCAAAATATTCCCTTACCAGGCCAAAATATAGATGTACACTTTTTTTTTAATAAGTCTACTTCGTAAAGACCTCCTCTAACCACAACAGTATTGAGCCCAAGAAAATAATTGAAAGACCCATTCAAACTAGATACTTCTTCTTCGTTGCCAAAATTCGCCCTGTACCTGTACTCAATATTTAATGAATCAAAACCATCAAATTTGGTCCATCTTTTGAGATCACTCTTGTAAAACCATCTGACTTTTTCAGGGCCTAGTGGTTCAAATGTTATAGCAGTACCATTGGTCTGAGTGTTTGACACATTATTCTCATCTTGTGTGTCTTCAGAAATCAATACCGGTTCTTCTGTTTGTAAAAAATTTGTATCCATGTTGTTCATTGCTGGTGCATAACTAAAACATTTTGAACAGTGTAGTCGGTAAATACAGGTGATAATATGAATAAAAAAAATGTGCTTGGTTAAATTTAATTAACAGATGATGTAACCAGTTAAACAAATAACAATGGACACATAATTAAAATGATTCACCTTAACGTGTGTATAAGAACCAATTTTTATTGATTGTTAAAATTAAAACTGCGTTAATCAATTGCCGGCGATCACTGAACAGTTACTAAAAGTTAAAACGGTTTTAAACTAAATGTAAAATGTTAATATGCTTAATTAAATCTAAACGATATATTATGTTGATTATGAACGTTTGGATTTTTTAATGTTTAAAAAATATCCATCCTTATCTATGTTATCAGGTCTGGTGTCATGCGGTTATCACTTCCATCAATCGTTTTGAATGATACAAAATTAGTGAATATGATCGTTTAAAAAAAAAGGAATTCGATCTTGATGTTTATTAAAAATTTAAAAATTGTCTCCCGTTCTATAAACGCTTTTCTGATAATTTGATGTTTTAATAGTGATTGTTAAACCATTACTTCCCGTCATCCGGTTCTATGATGTTTGGTAACTTGAGAGAAAAACTGCACAACGTCGTTCAAGAAGGATTGTCAGCAAGGTAAAATATGTTACTAAAATAACACATACAAATTCGAAAAGATACTGTTTCTTTACGACGTTATCATTTTGTTAATTAAATATGTTATTTATTCACTAAAATGCAAAAAAGTAATGCACCCCAAGGTTGTTGTTTTCATTGCCATTAGCTTAAACCGAGGCTAAAACCTAATTTAAAAAGGTACCTATTGTCCGATTATTTGATTATGCACCTATTTTTCTCAAAAATTTCCACATACTGATGAAATGCAATAAATCTGACTTTGTAATGACTTGATAGTGTTAATTGTTATTATTTATTAGGTACACCTACATAACTATAGATATCTTTAACTTGGTTTTTTAAACTATCTACCTAACTATTATGGTTATAATTTATATTATTAGATAATAATTCACTGATATTTACTTGAGGTTTATTGGAAACTAACTTTGCTAATATTTGTATGTTAAGTAACTGTTTTTAGCGAATTTTATTTCACTAAAATACCATTTATTTTAAAATTATACTCCGATATATAACCAGAATAGCTTGTGGATTATTTATATACTTAAAAATAAAAATAAATGTCATATTTAATTTGTTTCGACGTCTGCATTTTAACCGTATATAATTTGTATGGTTATTATATTACTTATATTCAAATGTTTAAGAATCATTTGCTAGAATATTACTACATAATACATTCAAGACAAATTAATTTTAATTATAAATAATATSTATTATATATCATCAACTTGAAGCAAAAACTCACTTGCTATAGTAACTGAAATGTTAAGAAATAAAATAAAATAGTAATATACAATTTATTTTAACAGTAAAATGAGACCATTGGTCAATAATATTAGTAATTTAAAGATAATATTATTATCATCTTTTAGTTTAATTATTTCATACTTCCCTTGGGCAATTTTATTCATTATTTCAATCTATATCATAAAAATGTTTCATGTGTTCTTTGATCTTTTTTCTCTATATTATACATTGATAATGAAATTGTATAAATTATTTTTTGAATTATTAGAATAGGTAATTTATACTAGGTAGGTAGGTACTTTAAAAATTAATTAAAATCAAAATAAATATAAAATTAAAAAATTGTATTTTGTATATAAAATTATCCGATCTTTGTTCTTTGATCCATATATTATTGCAAATATAGGTTAAATATAATTATGAAATTTATATTATAATATTATAATCAGCTATTAGATTATAGGGTACCTAACTGCTTATTTAATAAAAAAAATGTACTATATTAATTATATCATAGTTTTATATTACTGAAGCATAGGGGATATGGTAACAGTTTTTTTTCATATTTCCATACCTCCGCAAAATTACTTTTAAACCATCCCTGAAAATAAAATTAAATGTACTTATCTTAGGTATGTAGTTTACTCTTAAAATAAACAGCTATAAAATACCTTAGACTATACGCTGTGTGAAGTTTTTGTTATTTGAATACAATGTGTCACTCTACTTATTTCAAACCACTATGACTACTGATAATATACCAATAAAAAAATATTAGATATTCAAATAATATATTACAATAGTATATATACCTAGGTCTTAAATTATTATATTTGAATTGATAAACAATATCTACATTATTTTATTGATACTTCAATAAAATATGATAGCAAGAATAAATTTATCTGTATTATTGCCTACTTTAAAATTGATTTATTTACAAAAATAAAAGACTAGGTATACAAAATACATTTATAAATTAATTTATGATGAGCATTTGGAATATAATTATCAATTAATAAAATATTTTTAATTTGAATGCTTAGTGCCTAATAAATTATCTTATCTTAATGTGAGTCAACAATGTAATAATAGCGTTAAGTAGTTATGTGTTTCATTCAATTTCATGTTGGCCTAGCGAATAGCGCACAAATTATTAACTAATAATTATTATATGATTTWTATAAGCTTAAAGAATTTTAGTATAAAACTATAAAATATATATCACTTTAATAATAACTATTAAGACAATATTAATTTTGTTATTGCCTACATGACTCATGTGAGTTACAAAATAATATTCTCCCTTTACCCTTGTATTCAGTATTTTAAAGTTAACACATGTTTATCGTTTATGGTATGTAAAATCTAGAAAATAAATCTATAGAAACCTTTTAAATTTTTATTTTTATATTTTACAAATGTGTATTCTTTTTCAAAAAATTTAACAATGTAGTTCAAGCCAGAGCTGTAGAGCTAGGCATTGGCAAGAGGGCATTTGCCAGGGGCACAACTATTAAATGAAAAGCACAATTTCTCAATTAAATTGTTACAATTTACAAAATAAAAAAATAAAGAGAAAGATCATTTATTTTTTTAAATAATGAACATTTTATGGTGATTGAAGAGGGCACAAATTAGGTTTTCTGCCAGGGGTGCTGTAGGCTCTTGTTATGGTCCTGGTTCAAGCATCATTAAAAATTTTAAAATCTCTAAAATAAATAAAGTAGAATTATTTTTATTAGTGTTTTAATTAAATTTTAATGAAATTGGATATTTAAAAGATTTTTTCAATCAATTTTAGGTATCTTTTTACAACAAAGAAAAATTGCAGAAACTCACTTTTCATCATTATGTTTATTAGTACTTTCTGGGTTATTTTCTCCACACATTAAAATATTCAAAATATTTAAACCAATTGTAACTTATTTATGCTTACCTATATGAACCTACAATTTTATGATATTCGCTGGTAATATTTTCGTCAACAATTAGTTTTTCATACAAAATTTTGACTATAATTATAATATAAATATAATTTAATTTTTAACTATCTTTCAAAATAGATGCTGATTCTCTTGTATCTTTTCCTCAGAAAGATTTTTATGTTTACAACAATTGTCATTAAATTCAAATTAAATGTATCCTTTACAATGATTAATGGCCTACTTAATGACAAAATTGTCCCATAACCTACTAATACAACAGACCATAGTTTTCCAATTTTTCCCAGTTTTAAAAAAAATTTATATTTATCACATTGTTTACTATATTATATAACAAAAAAATTTTATATAATTAGTAAATATTACAAAAATGTTAATTAAAAATTGAAAATAATAATTCATAATAATTTAAGACTAATTCAATTTAAAATTAGTTAGTCATTTGTGTTTTTTATATTATATTATATCATAATAAAAAAGAATATTTATATTTGATTTTAATTTTGATTTTTAAACTACAGGTATATTACAGTTATGAAATGGTAATTTACTTTTATTATGTTTTAATTTATTTAAATACATGTCTCAAAACTAAGAAGCAATAATATGACACAATACCATATTATTATGATGCATTGTGTTATTAATAAATGTTTTCTATAATTAACTTTTTTTTAAATAAATCAATAAAAAATTTACCATTGCAAATATAGTATTTGTTTACGGATGGGCTTGCCAAAATTATATTCAATGACATTGTAATTATTTCGATACACACATTGACACATTAGGTATATTGTTGAATTCATCCAGAATTATATTATTAACATTAAAGAAATATTATTCTAATTGAACCATTCACTATTACAACAAAGATTTTTACATATTTTAATAATATAATGCATAACTTTAAAAAATTGGAATTGTATTTTTAGTGCCTTTCTAAGATTTCTATGTTTTAAGCACCCATAAAAGAAAATACAAAGTATACAAATAGTTGTGTCTCATCTGGTAGATTATGAGTTGTCATTTTGGCAAAAAAAAAACAATACTAACCATAATATAATATTATTAAAATAAAATATTTAAAATTTAATTTATCCTATCTAGAAGACAAGCATTTCACCATACGATATGGCTCAGCCTTATCAGACTTATCATTAATTAAAGCTGGAGTAGCGCACGGAACTGTAGCGGCACCTCTCTTATGAACACATCAGACCAACCCACCACCATCCTTACCACCACTGGTGACTTCGCTTACGATAAAGCCATCCTGGCCCTCCACCATGACCCTCTCGAGGCATCCAACAATATCCAAACCCACCTCAACATGCTCTCGACGTGGTACAAAGAATAGGGATTCAAACTCAACTAATTCAAATCTATCCACTGCACATTCACTCTCAGACCAATAAGCTGTCCCTCTATCACACTTAACAACCAACCTCTCAAAATGTGCGTTACCTAGGCTTATACCTAGATCGCCGGCTCACGTGAGCTACCCACTTATGTAACAAACGACTAGCTCTAAATATCCGTCAAAGACAGCTTTGCCTCCTCCTCTCTTCCAAGCACGTCTCATTAAATAATAAAATCCTTATGTATAAGGTACTCCTCAAACCTATCTGGTCCTACAGAATTTAACTCTGAGGATCAGCCAAAGACTCTAACATAAACCGAATCCAAACCTTTCAATCTAAATGCCTCCGACAGATAACTAAAGCAGTAAAGCCCCCTTTTATGTGTCAAATGACACCCTACACAGGGACCTCCTCATTCCGACAGAAAAAACTTTGCCAAAACTCAATACAAACGCTTCCACCTCAAACTTACAAATCACCAAAACCCCCTCATCCAAAACCTCTCTTCACGAACAGTCCTGGGTGACCTTGGTCAGCTTTTAAAACGTAGGTAGTGTGGTAATATATTAGTGGAC